CAGTCAATAAAATCTTTTTTTTTGGATATATAAGAAATCCAAATTTGAACTAATAAAATATTTGTTTTTTTTATTAATTTATATAATCTTGTAATTATTATTGATATGAGTTGACTTTCCATATCATTTTCTAAAGTTATTTATAGGCAGTCAAGTATAAAATTTAATTCTTTCCCGATTTTCTGTTTGTTTCATGAAACTTAGTATCAGAGAAAATTTAGTGTAAAATGTTTATGTTTGTAATCACATAATTAATTAATTTTTATATTTTATGCCTAAGTTCAAAAACCGGTTTTTTAATTGTAAAAATCAGGTATTCGAATTATACAAATTTCTTCGAAAAAAAACGGTTTTCAGAAACCTATCAAACCTTAAAAAACAAGATTTGAAAAATTTTACTATATTTTATTTTAAAATCTCAATTTCCTTTGTCAAGAATTTCAATCTATATTGCAGGAATTTATTTCCGGTCAGTGAGTTTGATTCAATTGCAATGGAAAATAAGCAAACAATGAAATTTAAATAATAATATTAATCAAGATGCAAATTGCAAAAACCCATTGTACTCGTTTAAGAACACTTCAATACAACAGACGATTTCATTTCGGTATGAAATTATGTATGAAGATTTCAAACATTTTCTCTTTTTATAATAAAATAATATAGACAACTGGGTGACAGCAAGGAAATCTAAAGGTGCTAAATATATAATTCGCGCCCCCTCAAGAAAACAATACTATTACCTATTACTTGCGTCATTGGCGCCCCTACGATTAATGCGCCTGGGGCCGTCGCCCCTCCACTTGCTGCGGCGTTGAACAGGAATACATTTATATAGACAGGAAGACTAAAGCCTTGTTCAGCATGTAAATCTATTACTTTTGTATTATATTACAATTAAACTTCTAATGGATACTTAGGTAATTTATTTTTATGTTAATGCGTGTACCTGACATGTTTTGAATCTGTTTATAGTAAATAATGTATTGATGACAACATGCATGGACTTTTTGTTAACTGTTGTTGAAATAGAAAATAAAAAATATTTAGCGTGGACAATCTATCTTTTGTCCTTCTCCATGGGTTTTAATTAATTATGTAATTTTATTAATTTCTATTCTTAAATAAAAATCGTTTTGCGTTTTACTGAAATCCTCGATGAATTGTGCAACGCTTTGTTTGTTAGAATATACCAATATGAATGGTGATGTATATCTCATAAATTAAATGGAAATGTTAGCAATTGTTGACAGGAGAAGAATACACAATGTTGAGTATTATAATAAGAAGATTTACTTGCAATTTCTTGCGATTTAAGAGCTAGCTCGCTGCTGCAGTAATATACCATTATTTCGTATAAATTTAATATATTTTCTGCAGCAGAAAGACCCAAATGGCTTCTTCTAATATTACTTTATAGTGACATAAAGAGTTTTACATTATTGTTATTATTTTCAGAATTGAAACATACAAAAGGAAACTAGTGTTAGCGTAATGTATTATATGATACGTAACGTTATGTCATTGTTTTTCAGAAATGTATATGTCCTTTATTTTCAGTAGAAGATTAATAACCTCTTATTATGTTAGTTAATTATTATATAATATATATTACATAATCTTTATAATTTTCAGTAGTGAAAATTCGAAGTATAATTAATCTTAGTTTTACGCTTTACATCTATTTAAATAAGAAAATTTGTTTCATTTAGCGTCATTTTGAGTAGAAAATAAGTATTTTTTCGTTATATCCAATAAGCGTTAAACAAGGTCTTACTGCACTGGTTTTAATAAATTATTGTTTCGTGTTTAATATAATAATATTGCAATATTACATAAAAATTACAATGTACTGTCTTTCATCATAAGATTTATGTCTTATTAATATAAGTTTTTAATTACATACAGGACAAATTACATATTTTTTATACTTTTCATTAATTGTCTTTAGTGAGAAATGAGTTATGAATTAATTATTCTTGAATACTTCTAATTTCACTATTAAAGAGTCAATTAGCACTAAAGGATGTTTCCCGAGATTTTTTCCCAAGAAATATTTCAGCTAAAAAAATAATAATGTGTATAACAATATAGTTGAAGTGAATTATGAAGGAATCGAGACGCATTTCACTATTTAGTTTTCACCGGGGCGCTAGCCTTTCGGGGGCGGCAATTTTGCTTCCCCTCCCATGTATTTTCTTATGAAGAGGGGCGCATTATTCTTAGTAGCCCACAAGCGCCCTCCCCTTGTCGTGCATTTTCTTATGAAGAGGGGCGCATTATTCTTAGTAGCCCAAGGGCGCCAAATACCTTAAGATTATCATATTGAATGATTAAAACACTTGTGTAAGCATTTCATAAATTTGTGGTGTTTTCTTGATGTGTTTTTGAGTGGTTTTCACGCTAGATTTGAGCATCAGACGTTCTATTTCCAGTGACAGATCTCGCAATAATTCTTCATTGCATTCTTTTTTATACATTCCTTAATTTCCTTCCGTTTCCGTAACCGGAGTAACAGGAATTAGAGGAAGATGCACACGTCTATACATATGCATATCAAAAATAGAATGCATATATGTATTTCATCCCCGCACCCGAATTAGACGACAGTGAGACCTATGAGATATGAGAACCGGAAACGGAAAATGCGGCAGCACGCGCCTATCTTCGTCCTCACGCAGGTGTTTCCTTCTTCTTCTTCTCCTCCTCCTCCTCCAGCACTCCTCTGCCACCTCGTCCTCTTTTCATCTTCCTCCTCCACTATCTCCGTCTTCTCTAGGAAAGATGTTTTCGTGTCGCGTGCTCCTGTGTGTATTCGAGCGTGTGCATACGTTTCATTACTTCTTTTTCTTCCTTTCCTCCACCTCTTCCGATTGCATAACGCACCTACGAGGTACGAAAATAGAGTGGCCTTTCATTCATCGTTCGTTCATTCAAGCCGCACTTCCGACAATGCGGAATCAACATTAGCCGCCTCATTGTTGCCGTCGCCGGGATGTGTTTCTTGGCGGCAACGGAATCCTCGGATGTTTCTTATTAGCTGTACGAAATCGAGACGGGTTGTCTCGGAAAGTCTGCCGTTCCCAAGAATAGAATCAAAAAACATCCAATAAGACACCAGGATCTTTACCTTCTGCCACCGCGCGCCGCATATTTTCCATCAACTTGCCTCCTCCAACATCCAATAAAATCTAATTGAAGCTGTTGCAAATGCCAGCAGCATGTTGCAATGAAGAAATACTGAATGAATCTTCAGTTTCAATTACTTAACATCGTTTTTGTTCGTATAAGAATATTGAGTACAGCAGAAGAAGAATGAAACCGTCAATTGAACGGATGATGATTATGGTCGTTCGTCTATTTGCTTTACAAGGCGGATTGTGTGATTCGCATTGGAATACATTACAATAATTACTCGTGACGAAACTAGAGGTCCGCTATTTGTTATATCCTTCAACGTAGATGCCATAAGCCATATAAGCACAAGGCGAATCAAGAGGCTCTAAAACATTGTATGTCCATAGTTGACTCCTCGCTTTAATCATATGCAAAATGTATTCACATTTTTTGTTAACTGATTGTGCGTACCTTTTGCTTGCTGCGGACATTTTTAGAAGCGCCGGATGATTGGAAACATGTGTTTCCTGGATGCAGATTAAAAACATATTTTTCACGGTATAAGTTAAAAAATACAGCTTTTCACCATTCAAAAAATAAATGTAAACTAACGTGTTTCCAAAATCAACGGCTTTTATTATACTATTATATAATAGACATAGCGGTATAGAGGGCTTTTGACCCTAGTCTTCATGTCCATTTCATTCCCAATAGAGCAGCGAAATGTGATTTTTGTTAACACCACCACCAGTTATGTATGAATTTGAACCTGAATGCATAAAAAATGTACATGCAATAAAAAAAAATCGAAATACGCAAAACAAATAATAAAACGATTTTGTTTATTATGTCTTCAATTTACTTTCAACGATTTAATTATGTTTGTTTAAAAAAATGTTACCTACCTACCGTGTAAATCGGGGGATTTGTGTATTACATAGTCAATCTTTGAGATTGCTACAAATCTAGTTATGCGCTTCTTATAATTACTTAATAATTACTTTAGCCATTCCTAAAGTTATTATTATGATTTTCAAAAATCATAATATCTCAATAATTAATTAATATTACATAATAGTAGTTATAGTAAAATACTAAAATGTGCGAAATTGAAAACGATTTCGCAATTACAAAAAACAATTAGTTATTTTTTTAATTAAATAAAATTATTTATAAAATACATTTATTATTTAATGGCAAAAAAATCAACAACATTCGTATGATATACACAAACACTACCATTTTTGTTTTTAGTGCAATTAAATTAGGGGATGTTTCATCCCGACGAAATAAAATATTCCGTTTTTATTTACACACACATTCATTATTTCGATCGTCACAAATAAAGTTGCCGCAGATCATTTAAACAAAAAAAGTACAAATGTTAAAAAAAAAACTCAATTTCAATCCAGTTTCTCGTACACAATGGTCGTTCTTGTGATGTGTGCACGTATATATATATATACAAATGTCGTTTTTGCTGCTTGTTCTGTTTTAGATTTCGTCCAATTTAATTGAAATTAAATCGTATTTGCCGCATAAAAATGTTTGAAATTTCAACCACGTGAAATTCAATATTGTTTTTTTTTTCAGGAATTCAGTTATCGGCTTTTTTCTTCTCATCTCTTCGAGCTTCAAATATTACTATTGAATAGTAATATTTTAGACTTAGATGTGAAAAGGAAGTTTATATTTTTATTGTGTATAAACATATGTTTTTTTTTCTATATATATTCTAGAGGTGAGTGGTTAATTCCTCATAAATTACTTTATGTTTCTTATTCAAAATTAATGTTTTAGGTGAAGTGTCATCAATATTAAAACTTTTTTTTAATTAACTTTTCCTAACATTTAGTAATATTTGGATTGAATATAGACAAAATCAGAACTTTTTTTTTAATATAAACATTCTTAATATATTTTAATTTCAAGTGAACATTATTTTAAGAAACATATTTGGTGGTAGTATCAAAGTATAGTGAACCTCATACAAAAGCAATCAAAAAAATAATTTTGTTATGTCTCAATTAAAAGAAGATGTGCATAAGTTGTGGTCTGGTTCAAAAAAGCAGGTTGATCCAAATGAATGGGTATTACATGATATGGAAAACTTCAATTTATGCATTCAATTATACGCGAATGTTATGATAGATCTTATTTATGATATAAGATTTAAATTAAAATTATTAAAAGATTACCTATTTCCTGTAAACCTAGACGTTTGTTCCGATCCTGAAGACCAAACAAAAATGCCAAGTGAGTATAAACAAATTTTCCTCAAATAATATTATTTAGCTTTTCCCTAGGTTTGAAGTGGTACATCTTAATGAGATATATCCGGAGAAAAAAGAAAAGAGTATGTAAATTATGTAGTGGACCTTGCCTGAAAAACGTTTTTCTGATACTGGAGTCGTTGGAAAAGGACCTATTCCAATGGGAAAAGAGCGTCTTTAAATTTTCAGAAGAAAGACCAGATGAAGGTGTGTTAATTGGACTCTTAAATTAAGAATATATACATAACTAATTGAGGTATAATTTACAGATTATAATCGCGTAATTAAAGAGCAGCACAAGAAATGGGATAGTAAATACTCGCCAATTAGCAAACTAGAATCTCTAATATTGCGAACTGAAGTCGCTTCATCGCGACCTCCAAAACCGAGACGTTCGTCAAGTTTAGTTAACTTATCTCATTCAGAACTATTACATAAGTGTATAGTATTCAAACGCATTTTGGTTATTCCTTTAGCTAATGTAATTTATATTTATTAGATCGCAATACCTCATTTCTAAAACTATTTAAAGGAATAAAACCTAAAGCATCTTCATCAAAAACACTTAAGAACGAAATACTACTACAAAATGATAATGTTATACACACAACTCCCAACGTTTTGGAACTTCCAGCATCTGAGGAATCTAATGAAGCAGCGATATTCTTGAAACCAAAATTAATTAGTTTTTCGATAGACAAGATATTAAGCAATCCTTATGTACCACCAGGTTCTTCTAGTCAAGTAGCACAGCAGGAAAACCCAATTGAAACTGGAAATCTTTCTGAAAATCCATTTGGCTGGATAATATCAAATCCGGAAAGCACTTCTATATCGGTAAATATACCCAAACAAGTAGCAAAAAGTACTAAATCTGCAAAATTTTGCAATAAAGTAGTAAAGCAGAAATACCAATCTAAATATATAAATCTTTCCAAGGTAGTGGTAGAACAGGAAAGTGAACCTGTATTTACAAAGCCATCCAAAGACCCATCTAAATCTACATATTTGCAAACAGCAGAACACTATTATGCCAATCCAGTAGCAGGACCATCCAATTCGAAAGACCATGAAAGTTCTTACTGTGGTCCAAGGCGGTCATTGTCATCTTCGTCTTTGTATGATGTAAATAGTGGTGTACCATTCCTTAGTCCGGCAGGTATTATACACAAAATAAGTGATATTTTTCTAATAATTTTAGCATTTTTTTAGATGATAAGGCGGGCAATGAATTTCAGAGTAAAGCCTATGCGTTCATCAATGAGAATGGTACTGAAAAAATGACCAATGAAACATATAAATATATTTTATTCTTCCGTATGAGGATGTTATCAAATAAATTAATGAACTATATTCAAAATCAACCAGATTTATTCGACATATATGCAGAAGTTCAAAGTTAAAACATTATTATATTTATGTTACTATATCGTTTCATGACTACAATTGTTTAAGTCCCGAATACAGTGTAAATTGTGCAATGTACGCATGTTTTATGTATTTGTTTTTTAGTTTTCGTAAACTTTAACTATAAGTATTGTAATATAGCTTTAATTAAACTAATATTATGTTTGAGTATTTGATAATACTTAATATTTTAAACTATAAATATCAACAAAAATAACTTCAAAAGTTTAGAAAATATACAAATACATTCTAATAATAATGATAAAAATAATTTATTGCACCCTTGCACTTTTATTTATTTATTTGCAATATTGGTAGGTTATCAGAATATTAATTGTTTTTTTTATATATTTCTCAAACCAAAATTAATTAGTTTTTCGATAGTCAAGTAAAAAGCAAGTAAAGTCAATAAAGTAGCAAATCAGAAAGGCCACTTAAAATCTGCAAACCCTTCCAAGGATCTACAATAACATCAATTGAACAGAAAAAAAAAATCTAAATCTGCTTTTGTTTTTTATCTATTGATAGCATCTTCACGATATTTAAGTTGGCAACAAGCAGTATGTGTGGTGGACACAAAATCTTATACTGTTTTTGTCTAACCGTTTGCAAAGAGTACATGTAAGAAAATAATTGGGAGAACTACGCTCCAGTGATTCAATCAAATGTAAGTACAACTACAATTAGCTATTGATTTACTATATGTTTTAATGAAATCGAATATACATAATTTGGTATTAGGTTAAGTGTTATTTATATAGTATATTGTATATTGTTAGCTTTTCTCAATCAATGTTGGCATCACCTTCAAGAAATTTGTGTTGGCAGTATAGAAACTTTGAGTTTAACAAATGATGTCAAAAAAATTGTGAAAAGTAGAACAATTGTAAGTATTCAATGTATTAAAGGAAATTATCCTTTATTTTAAAGTAATCTAATCTTTATAGGCATTATAACTTGATTCGCTTGTATTAAGATGTCGGGAATTGATGACTCATTTGGTTGTGGGTCCAAACCAAAGTTGTCCAGCACCGAAGATTGGGAAATGTACAGTTCCCACAGCTTTATTTTATGTATTAATACTGAACCCAGCAAAATGATACATCAGTTATATGTGGTAGGAAATAAAATGAAAACATTACTTCCTAAAGAGTTCCACAAGTTTCCTTCGCCTGAAGACGATACTTCAATGCTAAGTGAGTATAAAATGAGTGAATTCTAATTGTAATCTTAATTGACTGATTGTAATATTTTTTTTAGTCCTCAAATGGGTGTCGCTATTTAATATTATTAACAATTATTCAGCATCATCCTGTGTATGCAAAAGGCCCTGCATAAAAAATTTGTACCTAGTGTTAGAAATATTTGAATATAATATTTCTCAATGGGAAAAGATAGTGTTTAGGTACAATTCCTATAAAACGGATGAAGGTATACCTTATTCTAGTCTAACCTACAAGTAACTAATACAATTTCATTTCATAGATTTTAAAAGAATCTTACATGAGAAGCACAAGGAATGGGAAACGCTGAAACGGTATTATGATCGTATGATAAGTGATGCATGTTTAGTAAGAAACAAAGATGAAATTGCTATTAAAAGATTGTTGAAATCTACATTACCAAGAGTACAAGAGCAAAATACATCTCTAACCATAGTATCATTTGATGAAGAATACGATGTACACCCATCTCCCTCAAAAATTCGTCGAATTTCGACTACAAGTATTATATGAAAATAGGTTATTTCTTAGTAAAGTATATTTACATTTTATTTTAGCGCGTCCTGCTCAATCATTTACGAATACGAGAGAATACGAAATTGATGAATCAAGCAACATGGAAACAGGTTTCGATTGGACAATTTTGCAATAATTTATAATAAAATTAAATCAATTATTTCAGGTCCTTCCTATCAAGAAGCTGATAACATTGATATTGAATTGCAATATCAATCTTATTCAGCAGCAGGTCCTTCCTGTTTCGTAGCAGGACCTTCAAACGTCGAAGCAAGATATTCAAATGCTATAGTAAAAGTACCCAACGCTGTACCAGCATCTTCCAACGTAGAAGCAAGTACATCGTATGCCATAGCAGGACCATCAAACGACGAAGCAAGAAATTCTTATACAGCAGCAGGACATTCCAATGCCGAAACAGATTCCTTCCGAATTTATCAACGTAATGAGTGGTCATCATCTCTAAGCACTTCTTATAGTGTATTTTCAACTCCTGGAGAATCTGGTACAGTTGTAAAATAATAAGAAAGTAAACTTTAAGTAAAACGTACATTTTGCCCCAACAGATTCATTGGACTTCCAGGAAGATTCCTTTTGTTGCGTTAAAAGACACGCAATTACAAACAAAAATTATCAATTTAATTTTTTCTGTAGGATAGCGGAAATAGAAAATAAATTGTGCAATTATATTTTATACAATGACGAAATATGCAATACTTATGGATTCCCAGCAGAATTCAGATGACCTGGTTTTAGTATTTTTATTGTGTTAATATTTGGTTTAATTATGTTTAGATATATTTATTGATTTTTTTTTATATTTGTAAATGAATGTTAATATTTTTATTTAAATTAATTGTTAGTCTTTCTTTTGATATAATATTTTATACTTGATAAATTCGAAGATATTTTTTAACTCCAATAAACTCAATTTTTATATTCCTACAATAAATATATTACTTCAATTATCTCAAGCAATAATGATTAATCAACCTATTCCATCTGAAAAGACTAGGTATGTCTCACTAAGATTCTCTATGGTCATACATACAATCTAGCATAAGCATAGTTTTCTACACAAAAAGTTGTAATATGTCTCTAATTATAATTAGTTATTATGCAACAACACCATCAAATTTAAGTGGCTGCAGTACCAAATATAAATAACTGTTTTGTGTAAAAATTTGTTTTAATAAAAAAAATAAACAAAAAAATAAATCTAATTGGTATTTGAGGATCGAACCAACATCCTTTTGTACCGGATTTTGCGACTATAGCCACACGACTACGGTCGCCCTCTTACAAATTTTAAATGAAGCCAAATATTCAAAATTTGGTTTTAGGTTATTTCTCAATTTATGTTGGCAACACAATCAAAAAATTTCTGTTGGCAATAAATAGTCAATCTGCGTTTAGCAAACGGTTTTTTATAGAAAACGACATAACGTTGTACCTGCCTTCTAGTCTATATAGTATATACCGGATTCATTGATTAAGATGTCGGGAATTGATGGTTTATTTGGTTGTGGGTCCAGACCAAATGAGCTCAGCACCGAAGATTGGGAATTGGAAAGTGTAGATAGCTTTAGTTTGTGCATAGCAATTGATGCTCAAGATATGATAAATTCATTATTCGATATGTTTATTGATATGAAGACATTGTATTCTAAAGACCAAAAAGTCCCTTTGACTGAAGACGATACTTCCATGTTAAGTAAGTATAAAATGAGCGAATTCTAATTGTAATATTTAACTAATTGTAATATTTTTTTTTTTTAGTGTTCAAATGGATTACGTTATTTCATCAGATTTCCGTAACACCCTGTCCGTGCAAAAGACCCTGTCTTAAAAATTTGTACATCATATTAGAATACCTAGAAACTGAGATAAATGATTGGGAAAGAACAACCTTTAGGTATTATTCCTATGTGACGGACCAAGGTATGGTCATTCTAGCCTTTCCTACAACAAGGAATTAATTCAATTAATTTTTATAGACTACCTACAGACATTAGACGAACAGCATAAGAAATGGAATAGAAGGACTCAAGATTACACCATTTCCTCTAATTCTCTTCGGGTATCTTTAAGAAGAATACATGAATTTAAACGATCGACTATTGTTGAATTAGGTACGCAACATAAACTAAATTCTTCTCTGACGATTGCATCCTTCGATGAGGAATACGATGTACACCCATCGCCCCCAAAAATCCGAAGAGTTTCAACACCATGTAATTTATAAAAATACCTTATTTCTTAGTATGGTACAATAATCATTACATTTTAGCAACTCTTAACGCAATTCCCATGACTATTGATAACTTAGTAACATCTATTAATCAAAACATGCAGATCACTACTATGGAAACAGGTTTGGTTTAGATAATTTATCAATGCTACTAATTAACAATACATTAATCGTTTATCTGTCAGATGCTTCCTGTCAACAAGAGTTATTAAATGTGTCGGTGGACTCACTACATGAGACAGCTTGCAACGTTGCAATAGGAGCTTTCAACACTGAAGCAGAAACTTCCAATGTTGAAGCAGCACATTCCTATACCGTAGTAGAACGTTCTTACAACGAGGAAACTGTACCTTCTCTTGCAGTAGTAGAACCTTCTAACATTGAAGCTGGATCTTCCTATGTCGTAGAAGAAGCACCCAATGTTAACACTAAAGCTTCCTATAAACATTCTGACACCGTAGCATGTATTTATGTTATCAAAGGATATTCAGAAGCCTTCAGATGTTATCAACATCGTGTGTCATCTCCTCCAAGTAGTAGTAGTTCCACCGTTTGCTATATGTCTGATGCGTCTGGTACAGTTGTAACAATGTAAATAACAAACTTCAACTAAAACAAACATTTTGTCCAACAGATAAAGAAGATGTATTCGACGAAGAAGAACCACCAATAAGTTGCAACGAAAAGAAGACCATCACTAAAACGAACTACCAGTTCAATTTTCATTGTCGCTTAATGCATTTAAAATATAGAGTTATGAATTATATATCGTTTAGCCATCAATTATTTTAATTATTTTATTTTAAAATTATAATCAAAGGGTTTTCATTAGATTTTATTAATGTTATTTTTTTATGTAAACCTATTTTTATATATCTAGTATGTTACAAGTTCTTGATGATCTCAATATCTCAAATGGAGTGATAATATACAACAGTTTATATAAATAGAAAATTGAGTTTTAATAGATTTCCTAGCATACGTTTATTTGAAAATATCGTGATTTTTTTCAATGAAAATTTGTTTTATATGTAAATGATTTTTTTATGACTGAATTCGTGTTTAAATTCATGCAAACTATAAGAAAGATAAACAAATTTCTACCGTAAATTTTAGACTTAAATATGCTGACGCAAAATAAAACAAATTGGTGTTGCGAAGAACGTGCGGCAAAAGGAACTTGCAATTTACTTTGAATAAACATCCTTTCGCTTTAAAAACTGCTCCAAAATTTGTAAACATTAAACCGACGAACGTTCTAAAGTTTCCGTTTCAAAAATAACACCGTTTGTTTCAGGCGAAATTGTTGATTTTTTCTCTACTCGATTCTTAATAAATTACTCAGCGTCGATCATTAGTCATGCGTGCGGAAGCGCTATTACAAACATCATTTTCCGTGGAAAAATCAAAGAGCACGGTCCAACGTAACGCGAAAAAGAAAACACAATTATACGTACGCTTCTGTTCCCAATTTATATCAGGATTTTCCCCGATCGATTTTAAGGATTTTCGTTTTGGTCAGTTAAAATCGACTACGAAGTTCTTCAGGTGTTTGGATTGCGAAACTTGTTACTCAAACAATTTGCCTCCGTTTTACAATAACTCAATTCAATTTGCTTGAAGTTGGTGCAGAATACGAGGCCAATAAATATTTCATGAATCAAGCACTTCAATGCCTTTATTCAGTGAGAACAAGTTGAATGTGTTGGTCTTCCGCGCTGTTTGTAATTAAATGCGCTGTTTAAATACGGCACATAATTAACAAAGTTTTTGCTGTATGTGCGATTTATTTTTCAATTTCCTCGAACAGAACCAAATTATAAATAAAT